CTTTATTTATTTATGGCATATTATTTGTTTAGTATTTCAATGTATATCCCAGCTCCTTACCCATAAGGAACTCAGTTACTACCTACTTTTGGAATTCCCAGTGTAGCACCTGGGTATCCAAAGTGCTCTGTCCCCCTCCCTTAATGCTTGCCAGGTCCCCTGCCCAACTATAATTTTTAACTTTCTAAGTTCCTCTGAATTTTGAACAGATTCCACAAGGAAGTTGGCATGCTGCAAAGTAAAGCATAAGCTTTCAGAATCTTTATTTCCAAAACTGCCCTTGAAGCCCACATAGGTCCAATCAACATTCTTATAAAAAAGATGAATGACTGCAGCTACACACACTTTGGAAGTACGTCCCACCTGTCCAAGGAAAGGAAACAGGTTTGCTGGGGGCTGGTAATCAGTACTGAGGGGAAACAAGAGACCGTGGCAGGGAACAACTTCATTGGTCTGCCTGTTTTGGAAACTGTTTTATGACAAGCTTGCATACACTGAGAGCCAGTTTGGTGTAATGGTTAAGGCACCAGGCTAGAAACCAGGAGACTGTGAGTTCTAATCCTACCTTAGGCACAAAGCTAGCTGGGGGACCTTGGGCTAGTCACTCTCTCTCAGCCCTAGGAAGGAGGCAATGGCAAACCACTTCCAAAATCTTGCCAGAGAAGACTGCAGGGACTCGTCCAAGCAGTTGCCAGGAATCAACACTGACTCAAAGGTACATACAACATATACACTGCCCAGATTGGGGCAGTCTTTAAGTACTGTTTGATAAACACACACACACACATATATATACACCCACACAAAAGCCACACCCTTCTGGGAGCCATTTTGAGAATGGTCAAGTTGTCCCCCCATGGTAACCATTTTCTTAAAGCATTAAAGGTACCGACTGGGACCTTTGTTTTATTCCATTAGTGAGATTTCCGCTCCTTCTTTCCAATTAGCGAAAACTGCCCATATGCTGGCTGAAGCTATTTCTGCTCTGAAACAGTCATTCCTTTCTCTTTTTCTTAAATCAAGCCATGGCTATTGTCTTTCCAGCCTCTTATATGCAATATCCTGCTACATTTAATATGAGAAGATAAACCAGTATCACGCCAAAAGGAAATCAAACACAACCCTGCTCTGACTGCAAATGTAACTTTACACTCTGATCAAACCAGACAACTAACCCAATGAGAGCAGGTGTTTTTCTTTGGCACAGATCCATAGCTGGTTCTTTGGGGCTAAAAGCACAGGACAATGAGCGGGATGCAACAGGCTAAATTGTAAATGAATAGAGGATTGTAGACCCAGATCATGTTTACCACTTACATGATGAGGAAGGTAAGGCAGCTGGTTTGAGCTAAACTTCGGGTGCTTTTGGGTGGGTGCATCCACTTGAAGAATTTTCACAGCTTTCTTAAATTGAAAATGATACTTTTCATTTTAAGATGAGAGCACATTTATGCACATCCAGTGTATTTTGCTTACCATTGGAATCAAAGTACCAAATGACTTCTCCATGTGTTCTGTTCCACAGTAAGGCACCCACAGAACTCACTAAAGCCATGACGAGAAGGATGCAGAACAAAATGAGAATCTGCACATTGGTAACTTTTTCTACATTTGATCTCTTCAGTGGAGCTTTGGTTGAATTCTGGAAAGGATCAGCCACAGAACTGCAATGATTAATTGTACTCACAAAAAAAATAATAAAAACAAGATTAAAGTACAACCAGATATTATGAAAGATTCACATCCATTATTAAAAACAGAAGCTGTGTTTCTCTTTATCCTTTCCTTCCATAACAGCTACCAATTTAAAACACAGGATGCCACCTGCTTTGCGCTAGTAGGCCAGCCTTCTCCAACCCAGTGACTTCCAGGTGCGTTGTACCAGAAGTCTTATAATTCAACACATAGGGATAACATCAAACTGGGGAAAGCTGAAACAGATATACCAAGGGAGAGAAGACCAGTTAAGTATCTTCTGGAATACAGTTCATGAGATGCAGAGCTTCTAAGCTGAACCATTAGGACAGTAGTTGACCTAAAATGTTGAGTTTTCAAGGAACACCCAAACCCAACCATATTGAAGCTTGGCTTATTGCAGAGGGAAGGTGATTCCCCAGCACAGGCTCCACCCACAGGGAGGGTGACTATGCATCCCTGCTGAATAGCAATCTGTAAGCAGTAGCAGAATGAGCAGAATCGCCCTTAAAGAAGCATAACTAAGGACCTTGCTATAACTGGAGACACAGTCCTAAGTTATTTTAACCTTTTAACTGCAGCCTGCTATTTAGCAGCCAACCTATTGAGGATACAATATATATATAGTTGTGTGTATGTGTATAAATACACAAACACACATATATACACATACACATGTGTGTGTATACACACACACAAATATAGTTGTATTTTCTCCATACAATTAAAAAATGCAATTCTAATTTCTGCACTATTATAGTCACTACTACTGCGGCTCAGTCTGAAAAACAAACAAATGTGCATGATGTACAATAAAGCTGCTAACTGGTACAGAATCCCAGAAGTACATTATGCTTATTTTACCAATTGTTCTCAAGGCATAATCTCAAGGGTTGGTTTTAACTTGTAAAATCCTAGATGAGAATTTCATTATCTAAAGGACTTCCTCTCTTGCTATAAACCCATGCAGACATTAGCATAAGTAGACAAGGTCCTGTTAAAGATATTCTGACATCTGTTTCTCAGCCCCATGGGGAAGGTCTTCTCCTGTGTTCCTTCCTTCAAAACTATGGAGTGCCTTCCCTCAGGACTTGTTCTGGGCTCTCACTTTTTCTGCTTTAGGAAAAGATGTCAAGATATCCCTCTTGAGCAAGGCCTGATCAGTTTGAGTTGGTTTTAACAATATTTATTGTTTTCATGATATTTTTACTTACAACAGTACGTTTTATTTTTTGTTCTCAGTAGCCTTAAATGCTACATAGACAAAAAAAGTAGGATCTAAGTCTTAAAATACCCAATAATGAAATAACAAAAATATACTTGAAACCACTGCTGGACTTTGCAGCAGAAACAATGTTAAGCCTTACAGTGCATTAACAGCTACTTACCTGCATAAGTTTTGTGTCATGTCCTGTGTAGACAACTATTCCTAAAACCCACTGAGTGTTCCTTATTTGTGCCCCTCTTAGTAAGATCTGGTCAGGTCCAATTGGAACTGGACTGATGAGAAAGAAGAGGAAAAGGAAGCTAGAAGTTTGCAATGTAATCAAAAACAAAATATAGTTTTCTAAATATACTCATTAGAGCAGTAAATAAAGTTGTAGCTATTGTTGTCATTACTGCTATAAGTACTATTATTTCAAAAATTTCTTAATGTCCTATTTTTTAAAAAAACTCTCAGGGTGACATGCAGTTAAACTCCAATAAAATCAACAGAAAAAACTAACATACAATAAGCAAAACAATATAAACAAAACAAAAATTAAAAGCAGCACACTAAAAATGCCAATTAAAAGGCTTGAGAGGATCTATCAGTGTTCTACCCATCATATTTTGTACTACCTAAAGTTTCTGGACTTGTCTTAAGGGGTTATCTTCAATAATATTTCTTACTGACTTAATTCGTCAAGCATCATTCTGTCAAATAGTAGGAGTATGTAGCATTTAGAATTCAAAGACTCAGCTTTTTCTGGGTGTTACCTTACCTTTTTCTAACAGAAAATGACTCCCATTTAACAAAGAACTCAATCATTCTCTGGAGCCATTTTCTCATTCATGCTGTTTGCCATGCCCCATCGCCAGGTCCCATGCACAGGGGAATGTAGGTCTACCCATACAGGCTTTTGGGGTAAAAAAAAAAAAAAAAAGGACCAGTTGCTTTCGTATCAACTGAATACCTTTGACTTTCAAGACGGAGATTTCCAGTGAAGTCATAGAGGTGACGATTAGGTCCTTCACACTCTATCTTCCCAGCCATTTTCATCAAGTCTTCTTTTGACTGGAGGTTAGCAGTCTGAATCAATCCCTGTGAGGAACCAAGCCATAGATAGATCTGCCAAAATATCTATTCTCTTTCACAAATTAGGAACATATCTTCACAGTGGAACCTATAGCCCTCCCAGTGTTGCTTATCTACATCTTCCATGGGCCATGTAGGATGATAAGAGGAAGTCTGCCAACTCCTAAAGAACCTCAGATTCCCCACCAGTACAGAGACCACACACTCTGGCTGCTGTGAAGTCATTCCATCCTGATTCTATTCTGGCTAGTGGAGTGGTAGTTTGGCTCATATGGACCATCCTGCCAATTACTTTGGAAAGAAACAGATGAAAGTTCCTTCTGTAAAGTATAAGGATGCCTCTGCTTTTCAATGAGAATTAACAGATAATCTGTCTGAAAGCTGCTAAAAATACTTCCACGTACATTGTTCCAAACCACAAATGGTCGAATAAAAATAGGGAGAATATGTAGACATATTCTGATTTCCTCCACTTCCAAGAAAAAATCTTAGTCTAAGCCATGGTTTAATAAAAGCCACTGCTCAATGGCCCAGGCTTTCAATACAGAAACTCCAAAGTGAAGTTCCCAGACAGGATACATAATTCTGGATAATGTGGATCTGGATAAAGCAGCTCTCTCATTACAACCCTGGCAGTGATCTTCAAGAATGACTCCCCAATATCCCTCATGCTGCTGTTATCTCAAAATGAGCCACTACCTCTAGATGTTCCTTTTAGAAAAGAACCAATAGTCAGCTCTCCATTTGCAATCACATCATGCAACTAATATTGCAAGAGAGCCCTAGCTATTCCAAGTTATCACTTCATCACTTTCAAAACCTGAAACAAAATTTAATTTTACCTGTCGTATTTTAAGGTTCGTCTCTCCATCAAGATTAGCTGTTTCAATATAACACATTGCCTGAGGTTCACTATCAAAAAGCAAAACACAATCATGCTTTAAAGGCTACCTTGAAAAAGAAAGGTGCCTACAAACAGACATGTGCTTTCTAGAATCATCATTTTATTCAATCACCGATTTTTCCCCAAAATTATTATTGTTTATTTTTACCAAAAGGATTTAAATAATCAGAAATTTTCTTGTTTTAATAGGCACACATTCCAAAAAAAATTAATGCAGTCTATCAGAAAAAACACTACCTCAACAGCATGCAGACTCTGGTGAACGGAGGCCTTTTTAAAGAAACACAGTAAGTGAAATACATGTGACATTTTTAACATGGGGCTGTGTGGAGGGGGCTAGAGGAGAGGTCTACCCTAGTCTCCTATTTTAAAAAATAATTATATCAAATTTAACAGATTATTTTTAACCAGGATGATGATCCTTAGTTGAAATTCTCAAATTTTACCATCTTCTCCTGTAGTCCTAACTGGCTCTTAGAAAGTTCCCATAGAATTGCAGAATCCTTGCATTGTCTTAAAAGAAACACAAACTTGGCTAGCAGTCAACAGTGCAAGAGCCCTGATTTCAAGTTTTCATTTATTAGGTAGATCAACATGAATGTTTTGGCTCTTTCACCTTGCTCACATCCAGCACTAATCATGGCCAGAAGCTTGCGGTATAAATATTACTTTCCTCATTTTTACATCTTACTTTCCTTAAAATCTTCCATCTTCCCTCATATTATTTTACGATCAGAAGATACACTTGATATATAGAATATTATTGTCAAAAATGTGCAGTTTTTATATTTCAAATTAATTTTTAAAGGATTTTGTATTTTATGGAAATCTTTGTATTTAATTTACAAAGACCTTTCTGCAAGCAAACACTTTGTTAACTCATTGGTATCACGTTCTTACTTTTGTATGAAAACTCCTCCTGGTTAGGTATGTGAAAAATCATATACATCTAACTCAGTAAGGCAGAGCTTTCTCTTATTGACTGCACCACCACTCTTTCTGCACAGGGAAAGGTCAATTTTTTCTAAGGGGGAAAACTGAACCATAATGAAACCTATATTCCTGAATGAATAACAGAGGTAAGAATTGCTGGAGAGCCAGTTTGGTATAACAGTTAAGATACCAGGCTACAAACTGGGAGAACATGAGTTTTAGTCCTGCCTTAGGCACAAAGCCAGCTGGGTGACCTTGGGCCAGTCACTTCTCTTAGCCCTAGAAAGGAGGCAGTGTTATACTTTTTGTACTTTATAATGCCTCTTTATTTCCGCATATCCCATAATTTAATTATTGCTATTGATTTATGTTATTATGGAGTATTTAAGTAAAAGTACATTGGCAGTCAAAGCTTTTTGCTTTGACATTGTGTATTTTTATATATTTGTGTGTGTGCCTGGTTCAAGTCTTAAAAAGAGGAAGCATTTAAACTTTAAAGTAGAACAGCTTATTCCGAAGGAGAACTCTGTGTGCCCAATCCCTTGCATAACTCACGGCTGGACTATCTGGCAGAGGCAGACAACTGGATTTTCTGGTTAAGGAAGGGCCTAAAAAGGTCATGGAACAATAACAGCCTTCTCCAGTAAAATACACTCACCAAGACAAAGGAAATTCTCATGCAATCATAGAAAATGGTAGAAAAGCAAGCCTTTTCCTCAGGGGAAGAAAAGTTTTGAGTGACCATAAGGCAGAGAGCAGGATTAGTTTTAAAGGAAGCTAGTTATTCTTTCAATCAGGGAGAGTTTTCGATTCTGGTGCTATTCAATAGTGTGGCGTCAGCTTATAGGGTCGGGAATTATTTTATTTATATTCTTTGCACACTGCCCATTTCTGAAGGAACCTATCCATTTGTGCACAAAGCTGTAGAAATTATCTTTTGTTGGAAAGTAGCGTTGGAAACATTCAGATGTATCTCATTTAACAGGAGAAGGTAATGTGGAAAATGTGTGATTCTATGATTTCACTACAGTAGTATCATGCTGGAACATGTCAATGTTTTAAATTGCTTCCATTAATTTTATACATCTTTATATTTATGTTCAGTGTTATGCTTAACAGGGGGTTAAAATCAAATTAATAAACATTATTATTGAATGGTCCAAAGGAATAGGGCACAGGATCATGTTAGAGGTAAGAAGAACTAGGTTTTGTCAATGCCTGAATGGGAAATTGTCCAGAAATCTGCAGTTTGTCACCTTGAGAAATGGAAGAAACAATTAAAATGTAAATGTTATCATTCATTCTAATTTTGGGAATAGTTGTTGAGTAGTGTGCACCAACTTTTTTTGACCCTGTGTTGTAAATAATATAAAATGAAGTAAGGGAAGAGGAAGTATGGTCTCATCCTGTGTTTTGCTGATTTTTAAAATGGCAAGTAATCTGCTTTAAAACCTCAGTTCAGCAGAAGCCCAAGTTCACATATATTCAGGATAGCTGACCTGGTAGATAAAATGATCATGTCTGCTGGGAGATGCTGCCCATTGGTGACCTTCGCAATGTCTCCCACTGCCACCTGGTGAGCAGGGGCAAGCGTGCAACAGAAATAGGAACAGAGAAAGACAGAGAAAGTCCATCCTACAGTTAGTTAGCTAATTATCAAAAAAAGGAGGAAAAGAACAGGCTGCTTACCTGAAACTGAGGTTCTCTGAGCAGAACTCAAAGTGTGAATTCAAACTGATGGAGATCTTTGCCTGTGCAGAACTTGTGTGTGACAAGTTCTATTTGTTTTGGTTTGGTTTTTTTCATGCGGCACAACGCTACCCCCACTGAGAGGTGTGAAGAGACACAATTCACTTTTTCCCCAAAAGCCTTCCCCATATTATTCATCTGATACAATGGCACACCTGCATTATGGAGTTTTAATTTGGAGGCTGATCCGGTAGAATCTCAGCTGAATTGTCAACAAGCTATGACACCTGAGAAAAATGATGCAGATAACTGCTGACTCAGATACCAGGGACTCAGGTTCTGACCCTAGGAGAGTGCCCTAAAATACATCAACAGATAAAGAAGGTTGAGCAGCAGAGATCTGCACGGCTCCTAGAAAGGTGCAGGCATCAACATCTCTAATTAAGTAAATTCAGGAACCCTACTACTTTTCGATCTGCATTTCTGGGACTTCACATTCCTCATTTCTCCTGTTCCTTGCCTTATTATGATGGAATGTGAGCTGGCTCAGAGCAGGGGGAATTAGTCATTATAGAAAAGATATCCTGGGAAAATAGCAAGTGTGAGAAGAAAGAACACCAAACAACTCCATCTTGATTGAGTTAGGTATAAGTTGAAGTAGAGAGGAGCTTTCACGGGTTTTTAAGATTGATATCAGCCCCTCAAGATAGGTATGGTCAGGAAATAGGAATTGCTATGATTCTTGGAATGTACTTTTATGTGGTTAAAGTTATTATTATTACCGAATCTTGAAAGCACATCAAACAGAATCGCTATTATAAGCTACGGACAAGAACACCATCATTTGTTGAATACAAACTTCTACCTAATTTATGTATCTCAGTTTGACTGTTATCTAGTACTCTGCTTCTATAATGGACTGATTTATGACTAAACCATTAAAGCTTAGAGACTGGCCTTTCTCTGTCTGTTTCCAGCCTCAGGCACAGGATAAACTGACAAAAACTAGTGCCTTGCTCGATCATCCACATGATTGTTTGGAAGATGAGTTCAGCCAGCAGGTAATTTTCTCACTTGCTGACTATACTCAGAACATCAGAGTTGGAGCATTTTGCTTGACTGAATAGGGAACAGTGTTTTCAAGTACTATAAAACTGAGTGCTCAATAAGGAGGAAGAAAAAGACCTTCAAGAACCCATTTGGGTCTTGCAAGCTACCACCTTTATTACAACTGCTAACCAAGTTTTAAAACCCACGGGCTTATTCAAGCAAGTAATATATAACTCCATTAGGGTTTTCAAGTTTTCCAGTACACTCATTCTCATAGCTACAGATTCAGTTTCATAGGTTCTAAAAGGGAATTTCTCATTAAAACCTTTCTTATTTGTAAAACCACATACGTCTACACTTACTCTTCTATTTTCAGAATGTTCATAAGATTTCATTAATGTCTGTATTTCTGTGCTTTGAATATAAAGTTTCAAAGCTTCCCCCCCCCCCGTCCCCGTTTCCGTCGGCTAAGAAACTAAAAACTCGTAGTA